TGATCCACCAATTTTTAGGTACTTTTCAAATCACACAGGTGAAACTGAAAGAAAATCCCCTTGTTTTAATTAGAAGCCCTGAGACAGGACAAATTGAAGGTCCTTTCCGACTAATAACTTGGGGTAAAGGGTATGTTTGCATCTCTACAGGTGCAGGACCTTAGTGGGTTCCGGCAAAGAACATCAAACCATATTGCACTCAAGAAAGCACTGATGAGTCCAAGAATGGAGAAACAAGTATGCAGATGTCAGCCAAACAGAGAGACTATGAGTCACACCTGACATACCAGTGGAACCTACAAACCTTGATTTTATGTCAATAATAAGCGTGTGAATTGCTGGTTGCATAGAGCTCTTTTGGCAGAAGTGTAGTTTCTATTATGTTATAGAATAAGAGAAAGTGAATCCCCTCATTGGACTTTTAAAGGTGAAATTACCCCATTTTTAACACAGTCATTAAGTCCCCAGGCAACTTTGGGAAGGAACAAAAGCAGAATTTGTGAGTTGAAATATATGGGGAAATCTTTTGCCAAAAAATAGCTCACTAAAGATATGGAGTGAAATTGAGTGTTATGCGGGTGCTGGCTAGTTTTGCATGCTTCTTGCGGTGCAGATTTGCCTGTGGAACAGCCAAAAACAAATGTTTGGGTGACCTTAGCCAAGGCAGGCTCGGACACTGTGTATGTCCAATTCAAATCCAGAAAAGCCTTTTTCAACCTGTCTAGTCAGTGTGCCAGTAAAAGATTGGCCGATACCTATATATTATGATTCCTTGACCAAAAAGCAACTTAATAATAAATCAGATGAGGTTGCCAACGGGAGCAATCCTGTGGCTGATTGGGACATTTGGACCAAAAAAATTCCTAAAGCACTTTCTGAGCCCCAAGAATTGGAGATTCTTAGTTCCTTAACAATAGATCTCTGTCTTACATTTTCAGATAGCCATTAGTCAGAGAATGATCCTCCAAAATACAATGTCACTCCCAATTACCCTGCTTAGAGAAACTTGAGTTTTTAGTGTAATTACTCAGATAGCTTGGGTGGACTTTCTGGGGTTGATCAACATCCACGACATTTACAAAAGGATACACTTTTGTAGAGATAGAGCTTGGCAAGGCATTCCATCACACCTTGAAGGTGTTCCATGCAGTATTAGACAACTTACTGTGCTAGCATCTAGTGCTAATAGAGTCCTTAAGAAAAAACATAGAGGAAAAAAATTTGCCCATCAATATGAAGAAAATTGTAGCAGTGATTTTAGGCCCTGGAAAGCTGTGTAAAGAGTTTCAGCGGGTTTTCTTCTACCCTAACTTGCTTCTGCCATGACACTGAAACAGTTAGATCAAGTTGGATGTTGGCTGAGTAAACAAACCAGTGCTACATCCATTGCAATCAGTGATATGCTGACAGATGTCAGCAGTGTTAGACATGCTACCCTCCCAAACAGAGCAACAATTGATTTTCTTTTACTGGCACATAGACATGGTTGTGAAGATTTTGAAGGATTGTGTTGTATGAATTTGTCTGACCATTCTAAATCTATCCACAAAAGCATACAAAAGTTGAAAGCTTTAACAGCTTAAATCAAAGAACACCGTAGATCATGGTTAGACAATTTGTTCAAAGGATGGAGTTTTGCACCTTGGTTACGGGAACTTCATAAAATAGGTTTGTATGTGTTGGTTGTTTAAGTGATGAAACTAGTAGTAGTACGTTGTATACTTCGGCGTGTACGACAAATGACAGGCAAAACTGTCAAAGAAGTTTTTATCACACAAGATATAGATGTAAGAAATAGAATCACAGAAAGTTCTCAAGATCTTACAGAGATAGTGGATGTAAGTATAGACACAGATGAAAGCTTTGAATTAAGACCTTAGAATAGATGAGACTTATTAGAACACTAAATAGTAACCATTAGCAGATTAGACTTATATTCTTTGAACAGACCAAATACTTTACAGCATTAAAATTACTGTAGTATAAAATAGCAACACTTCAAGCAAACAAGAGAGGTAACTCAAGCAAAAAGACATATGTATTGCAGTAGAGCTATGTAATCCAAGGTAGTCAATAAGCAACAAAGTTAAGAAGGTTTCTTTTTGGTTGTACTGAAGGGGGGGAAACATGGGAAATAGTAAAAGTAAGAAGATTTTCAGAAAGCTTGAAATGTAGGCCTTAGAAAGAGCAGAGAAAATTAGAACTAGCTGCAGCTACAAAGTCTGAAAGTAGAAAAAGTTACAATAGTATAGCAAGCAAGGAATTAAACAATAGCTTGTGTTTTAGGCTTGCTAAGATGGACCGTAAGACTGCAGGAAAATATGCTAGCAAGATAGAAGGTTTTAAGCTTAGTAGTGGTGTATTGTGTGTTGTTAATAGAAAGGAGACAAGCAAGCATTCCATTAAACAGGTGTACATGTACTTGTAGTAATTGGCTAGAACAATTGTCTATAAGCTTTAGCAATATGCTATTGGCTAGAAAGTTTTTCAAATATCCTGTAACAAAGAAGTCATTTGCTGTACGCTGGCTGTACATGACTTTTGCCATCTTCCTATTGTCTCAACCATGTAATGAGGCTGATGCCGCAATAAAAGCTCAAAGAACATATCCCAGCAGTCCTGTCCTCTGCGTGTCCCCAACACACTTTTCCATGTCAGTTTTATCTCAACTTTAATATTACCATAATTTTAATACAGTAACTAGTGAGTGTGAAATATTACTTACATATATTTCTGTATCAAACTAAGATAAATTAAAATACTGGCTGATACTAGCAGTTCAGAGTTTTAATCACTTTTTTCTAAAACAAAACCTTAAATTATTGGATCCTTTAGTAATCAGCAAATCTGTGGATGAAGTACTGGAGCTCATCTGGCAAAGCCCAACTGTCATGTCCAGCTCTGGGCAAGGCACCTCAAATTCCTTTGCCTCAGCACATATGCATGCAAAACCAGCTGTGTAACCCCAGTTATAGTTATTTGCTGCTGTTACTTGGCATTTCTCTCAAAGCTTTCATGCAACAAACTGGCAGTTTCTTCACGTGTACCGAATGATCCCTATAACATTTAAAGGATCAGTGTCATGGTTTGAGGCTGGCACAATGCCAGTGCCCCCGTGAAAATATACTTTCCTTAGTGGCTTCTGTCAGATGTGATTAGGAACAGAGCAAAGCAGGCTCCAACTTAGGAATAAGGGAAGCAAGTTTTATTAATTATAACATCTAAAAAAAGCCCTAGCTGGGCAGGGGAGCTCTGACCTCCTTCACGGACCGGGACCAAGAGAGTTCCCGTGGGACTTCTCTGCTCTTTTAGCCCCGTGTTCTCAGAGGCGGTCCATACCTTCAGTGGCCAAACCAGGTGGCAGTATTCAAATCCAAGGACTGATTGGTTTGACCACAACCTCCCAAAAAACTCATTTCCTTCTTAACCTACGACACCCAGGAAGCAAAGAACTGTATTAACTGTAGCAGAGAGCAAGAATTGAAATTGTACAAGTTTTACCTGAAGACTCACAGGGTGATATTTCTCTTACCTTGAACATTTTCAAACAGTTTATTTCATGTCTTTTTATGACAGGAAATGAGGAATATGAAATCAGTCATCTAGGTATCAGCAGCAGTATATCCTTTATCAAAACTGTGTGTCACTGAGACATAAACCGTGGGCCTCTTCCAATCTTAGGTTATTCTTCTATCTTAATTGCATGGACTTTTTTTAGCTTTTACTATTTCTGACACAGAAAGCAGAAGTATGTCCCAAATGCCAGAGAAACAGAAGTTTTGAGATATTCTAGACTGTGGTCAGACATTGTCTTCGAAATGAACATTGGCTAGTAAGTATTTAGAAATCTTCAAAACTGATTATAAAAGTACTTTAAATCTATAACCAATATAAAATTTAGATATTATATCATATCATATCATATCATATCATATCATGTCATATCATATATTTAATCTATAACCCAACTATACACACATCTACCTAATTTAAAATAAAAATTGCATGACCAATTTTAGGTTTTTAAATCCATTTTATAGCTTCACGACCAGCAGCAATATGTCCAGCACATTGGGGCTGTGGCCTCCTGTCTCATCACAGTCGGCTAGCAGAGCCTGCAGCACACAGGCTACTAAACTAAGTGCAAGTCAAGCTCCTGGATTTCTGCCATGGGAATCAAAATAATGCTGGACTTGTTCCCATGTGTGCATTTGAGATTTACTTCTCTCAAAGACAGTCCCTGACCTTGACTGTGGTCTTTTAAATTTATGGACTGGTAACAGAGAACTGAAAAATGAAAACACTTGAAGTTCCTTACCCTTCATATTTACCACACCAGATGGCTGCTGGCAAGTGTTAGCATTAGGGCAGCTTTATACTGAAACAGTGCTTGGGTAAAAGAATTGCACTTTATCAAAGATGATGTGAAGGCTGTCTTTTCACAGGTCCAGATGCTTCTTGCTCTGGTAAGGCATTTTACTGATATGGAACTCTTTGTCTGAGGGATCCGAAAAATGTATTGCTGTATACTCCTCTCCCAAAGGCATCTCTCTCTTGGAAAGTAGCTACCAGCTAGTTTTTGCAAGACACACGCCCAATCTCTTTGCTGGTCAAGCAAAGTTGACCTGATTTTCAGGAAACTCTGTTCAAATCAGTGAACCTCAGTCATCATAAAAACATAGAAATGCAAAGTATCTAAGTGTAATACAACAGTATATTTCTATTTGAGACCTTCCACTGTCCTGAAATGGTTATCAGAGATTTCAGCTTTTAATAACCAGGCTCTAAAAAACCCCACTTTTTCACTTCTTTATGTCATTAGTTCTTGTATGTCCCTCACATAAGCTTGGTTATTAAATTAGTTTTGCTGATTAATGACTTCTGTAATGGAGTAGACCATTATTCAGCTCCTAAAGAAAATGGGTGTTAAATACAAGGATAAATTTAAGCTTTTTTTCCCTGGGATTAGCTTTCATTTTATGTTGCATCTGTTATCTTACCTTCCATAAGAGCACAGCCAGCAACAGGAAGATGAGAATTCCCACCAACAAACTGATGGCAATGATCCATCCGACAACATACCCACGAGGCTCCAGATTGTGCAAGGCCTCAAAGACCACCTACATAGCAATTAGAAAAAAAACTTTTTAGAATTGGAAGTTGTATTGTTTTCTCTTGTACTTATTCAACACGTATGGTGGCCTCACTGATGGTATTTCATCTGTCAAACAAATAGGGAACGCAGCCTTAATTTAGTGCTTTCCAATAATTTTTCCCAAAGGATTTTTAAAGCTTTCAAGTGGATTTTGAGTAGTTGTGTGTTGGATCCAAAGAATATGAGCCTCCTGTCCAGCATAACACTTACCCTGCCAAGCCCCAACACTGAGCTTGTTCAGGTGCTGGGCCATCAAATGTGCACAAAGTTTTGCATGAAAAAATCCATCCCTTGGATTGGCAGGGATTGGCATGACATCTTGCATGGCTCGTCTTACTCATCATGTTCTGGCCCTGCCAAACCCCCTGATGCTTCACATGAAATACTCATTATGAACTTCTGTGGGTTAGGTTTTCTGAAGTGAATTTCTTCCCATTTGTTATCAGGGAGCTGGGGGTGGCTTTCTAGGTAAATAGACAGTGATTAAGAAACAAAAGCAGTAGCCAAGCACTCTGATATACCATTGAAATGGTTTTGGGAAGGGGAACAGGGGTTTGGAGTTTTTAGCTGTGTGGGAGTAGTCATTTCCCGTCTTGGAGCAGAGACAGTCCTGTCAGAGTTTTTTCACCTAGGACCTCTGCTGCACAGTGGTTTCAACACTGCCATGGAGCTCTGCCTGCCACCTGCTTGTAAGCCCGTTGCTTGCAAGAGAGAAAGAGTCCTGGCTGCCCCATTGACTGAGACTTCACCAAATACCAGCGCCGAGAGAGACAAGCACAGTCCATGTGGGAGCCTGGGGGAGTAATTCCTTTCCATCCCCTCCCCAAAGCCACTGCATGGTGAGATGTCTGGAGCTGGGGCTGCCCGTGGCTGGACCTCTGTATGGTAGTGCAACATCACGACAAAGCCCTGCCTTCCTTCCCAGCATGTACCAACTCCAATTAGTGGCGCCAAAGACGGATCACCACTCCCATGCGTGCCTGGTGGAGTAATTTTCCTTTTCCCTTCCCCCTCTCACCTGAGCTGCTAGTACCACCACCATGGGGGTCCCCCTCTTGCATCAGAGTGCCCCCTGAAGCCGCAATGGAGGTACTGCAACTTCTCTGCCTCACCCAAGTCACTATCAGCCCCTGTTGTGGTTGTAACTACACCAAAGGGGAAATAGCTTAATGGGTGAAAAAGTCTATTATTGGGGTTTTTAAAAATCATCATTGTTATTATTTGTTCCATCTTGTTACATATACATATTAAAGAACTTTTCTTCTTTTTCCCATATTCTTGCCTCGAAGCCCTGAAATTTTTGAAGTCACAATAATTTGGAGGGAGGGGTCATTTTTACATTCCAGGGAGACTTCCACCTTTTATTTGTCTTTTAAACCAAGACTGCTTGTTAACTACTTTTTCTCCCAAAAAAACCTGGGCAAAAACATCACTATTAAATACAAATCATTCCTGCTGTGCTTTACAAGACACATTGTGCAAGAGGCAAAGACACATATAGTTTTTCTGGAAATGCTGGGACCTGTTCTCTTCTTTTTCTATATATAGCATGTATGGCAGGGAAATACAGATAACAAAGAGCTTTTGCACCATCAGTCTCAAGAAGATAATGGGTACAAATTAGATTATTCATACATACTATGTGAATTTTCAATCTCTTATTTCAATCAAAGCTAATTCCTCAGTAGAAAACTCAAGAACATCTCTCCTCAGTGAAGGCTATTTCTATGTTAAATTTAGCAATATCCAGCAAATGTGGAGAAGCAGCAGGGGAGTTTTTAAAGGTAATTAATTTGCTTTGTCTGGCTTTGTTTTGCAAGAAAAAGTAGCTGGTTTTCCTCCCTCCTTCACAAATCACTTTCACCATCTTTGCTTAAAAATGCCAAAACCATTTTGTAGATGTTATAAATGGGTAATGCGATGGTTGGGTCTCACAATTAAGAGACAAATATTATGTGTAAAGAGAAATTTCATTGATGCATAGTTATGTTATTTTTGTATGTTGTCCCTGTGCACTCGAGGATACTATTGGTTGCCTTGGCCACAAAGGGTCACTACAGGCTCATGGACAGCTTGCTGTCCACCAGGACCCACAGGTCCTTCTCTGCAGAGCTGCTTTCTAGCAGTTTGGCCCCCAGCCTGTACTGGTGCATGGGGTTATTTTTCCCCAGGCGTATGACTTTGCAGTTGCTTTGGTTTAACTTCAGACCTTTCTTTTCTGCCCGTCTCTCCAAACTCTTGAGGTCTTTTTAAAGGGCTTCACAGCCCTCTGAGGTATCAGCCACTACTCCCAGCTTTGTGCTGTCAGTGAACTTACTGCCCCTTCCCCCAAGTCACTGATGAACAAGTTAAACAATACTGGGCCTGTCACCAAATAGCATACGTGAGCTTGGTTGCTACCAAGCCCCAGGATTGAATGACAGGAGCTTCTCCCAATCAGGTCTCTTATGAAGCTGCAAGCATTTCACTGGCCAGATCCCGAGGGAGTGTGGAGTTCAGACCAAAGAGAACATACAGACCAGGTCTTTCAAAATGTCCTTTATAAGGAAGGGCTTGGAAAAATGAACTTCCTCTGTGCCACACCAACACTGGGGTTTGAGTGTCTCTGTCTCCTTGCCCCTCTCCTCCCACACATGACTTAACATGCGGTGAACCCCGAAGTGATAAGAACTCAGCAACACAGAGCAAAGGAAACGCACGGTGTTTTAGCTGGATTTTGGTCTACAAACCAAAACCTGATTAACAGCCTAGAGCTGGAAATTCAGCTGGGACCCAGATTACAGGGCGTCAGAGCCTGGATCAGTGTTTGGAACCGGAGAAATACAGCAGGAAGCTGGAATCATGGCATAGAAGCTGGAACAGTGTAAAAACTGGACTTCTGGTGTAAAACCTAGACTCACTGGTTAGACAGTGGCAAAAAACCCCTCGGCAGACAGCAGAAAGTGCTACAAGGGTTTAAAAACCTGTTTTGTGGACTAAAATTGCAATCAAGACCATGGGAGCTTGGATGTTGGGACCAGAAAACTCCGTGATGAAGGTACTGAAGGTACTGATTTTCTTCTTTCAGAAAAGAGGGATTGTTTCCCCGGGGAGTGGGGGAATCCTGGCAGATGCCGGCATTGTCCAGGGAGCCAGCTGGATGGATTGCGAAATCCAGCCACGTGGAGAGATGCTGGCCGTCATAACCTCGGCAGGCTACACAGCCCCGGCAGCTCTGCCCACTCCGGACTGTTGTAATCACTATGCAGCCACTTCAGGCCATTATATTGTGGGACCGGGCAGGCACACCATGCTGCCCTGCTCTGGGGGACCAGACTGCGGGGCGTCCACTCCAGGTCCTCTCAGGACTGGGAGGAACCCCACAGCCATTACTCCATGCCACATGGTCGATGGCATCAGCTCCGCACCCTCCTCAGCTGGCCTGGCAGCACTCCCCCATCCAGCCGATGTCACGGGGTGAGCTCTGCCCTCGATCCAGCCTCAAAGGGACACAGCCAAGCCTCTGTGGAGCCTGGCCGCACCTCCAGTGGGAGCAGCTCCACCACCAAGTCTGCCTCCAAAGAGAGCTGCAGAACTTAGAAGCAGAGCATGGGAAAAGCCTTTGCAAAGGTTGTGCTTGGAAAAAGGCAGTGCAGAGAGAGAGGCAGGAGTGTGGTACCGCAGGGACAGAGACGGTTGAGTCTGCCTGTAGAGATGGGTCAGACATACGGGTTAAATGTCTCACAGCAGCTGAAATCAAGATATACTGTCATCCAGCCAAGCGAGAAGCCAGCAGCTGCTTGCAAATGGATGGTAAAGAGACAAACAGACACTAAGTTTCCTTCCCTACAAAGCATTATAACCACATTACCTCTTAATAAATCAAGGTTTTAATTTCCCAGAAATGCTAATAAACTGAAAACATTTGCAAAGTGTAAAGAGTTCATAATACAGTATTTGTTGATTTTGTTTGCAATTGCTAAAGCTAAAGTTAATAAGCACATGATCAGTAAAGTGTTATCTTTCTGTCTCAGGCTATTACTGCTGTGCATCAGGAAAGCATTAGTGTGTGTATTGTTATGTATTTTTTTAATACTCTTACTAATTATTGTCACAATATTTCAAGAAGGATGGGTAAGATCCAGGGGATGTCCACTAAGAAATTAATGTTAAAAACTTTTTATTTTGTTTTGCACTGGATATTAATACAAACTTGTTTCTAAAATGTAGAATGCAGGAAATCTCTCCCAACCAAGTCATTGGCCTAATCAACCTATAAACCTGGCTGGTAAAGATTCTGTGCAAAAAAGCAAACCCTTTTTCTTTTGAGACAGGCACAGAGGCTTTTTCTGGAAGTAGCCCTCCAAGTTTGTTCATAGTGAAAGAGAGACCTACCAGCAACCCCCTACCTTATTAATGCTGTTAAAAATTGCATGCTTTATTTATATTTCTACTTACTATACAAAGAAAAAAGGGAAGAAAAGTTGGAGTAAAGGTACACCACTCCCTTTTTGAGTTTTAAGTGGTGTCATGCTCTTATGTTTTCTAATAAATCATATAACAGTACAACATTCCTAGGTAAATCCAAGGTAAAGGACACTGGACAGCATTCTGAAGTCTCTTCAGCAGAACACTGGATCGCAAATGACCACCTACCTCATGGACAGTCAATATAAGGACTTGAATTGTTTACAGAGTATTTTCCTGTTTACAAACTGTTTTTCTGTTTACAGATTGTTTTCTGGGTGTTGGGTTCTTCAAGGGATAAATGAGTTACAGGTTGTTTTTAATAGTTGGGTTTTTCTATAAGGGTTACATGGGTTAAAGGTTGAATGGTTTTTGCTTTCTGTAAGTTGTAATATAAAAGCATTGTGCCTGTGGCCTGAGTTCTCCCCCAGCACATCCTGAACATAAATGCTGCAGCTTCCATGCAAATTTAGCCCATGCTGTCTTCTGTTGTCCCGTTTGCAAAGGGCCCTTGCAGAT